TCAGAGATAACCTTGGAACCTTTTCCACTGGGTCCTTTACTTTGTTGGCAACTTTGATTTTTCCTAGAACAATAATCCTTGGTTGTGGGATTGCCAAGGTTGCATGTGGTACCACCCTGTTTCTCAGCCTTGTCATCATCTGTGTTTTGAGGCACTGGATTACCGCACTGCATCATCAGCTACAATTTTGGTAGCAACTTTACTATTTCTGGAATGATCTGATCAGGAAGGTGAGGTATCAGATAGCTGGATTGAGTCTTTGGGAAATTATGTACTGGCAACCCTCTACCTTCTTCACCTACATTCAGGTAAGTAACTCTAGTCACACCATCTGCGAAGCACATAGTATCCAGATGAAGAAGCTAAGGAGAGGTAGACAAATTCTTAAATGTAAAATGATGGCTCACTAGGTTTAGTAACGAAGTGGGACAGGACACATACTCATTACTGACTTTATAATGGATTCTTTTGCACTCAGAGAATCAGTTTTGTAGTAGCATTTGCATTGCAGCAAAGACCTGGAACAGGAGCACTTCAACTCTTCATGAGCATATGGCATTTACTTTCTTAGCAGCATCTCTCAGGCCTAGTCTTCTGCAATTGAGCTGGCTCCTAGCATCTGTGACAGCTAAAGGACTCTTCATGCTCAGTATATGCCTACAGAAACTTTAAACAGGCTCTTGAATGACATAGGCTTTTCTGGTACCCTGTAAGAAGTTCTGACTAACTTGGTGAAGGATACCACCTATCCCTACACATGGAACTGTTGGGACACATGGGAAATGCCTGCATGGATGTTATGCCAGTTACCATCCAGTCTGCACCAGTGCATGGCAGGGAACGTAAGACTGCCTCAGTGCTTTTGAAAACAGGACAAGTTCTTCTGGCTGCCTTGTCAACTCTGATCATTGATCCCTTGTCCTCCAAAGATAAAAAAGGTAGGAAAAAAGCATATTCTGCACTTCTTAGCACAAGAAAGAGTGGTGCATTCCACTGCCTCAGTTTTGACTGATAATCAGTGTCTACAAGGTACTGCTAAACAAACTGCCCGTTGTTGGCACAAGCATTCCAGATAACAAGGATCCAGTTCATTATTTGGACAAGTTCACAGCAGCCCCTGACCCTTTATGCCAGGATGTGCTTAGCTCAGAATCCATTTGCTGGCTGGTCCATATTATTAGGATAGAGAACAGTCTCATTTTTGTACACTCTCAGTGCCTGCTTTGTCAATGGAGAAGGATAACTAACATCATGTACACATACCTAGCAGTAGTTCCTTGGCTGGTTCCCCCCCCCCTTACTATGGCACAGGCTTTAAAATTCTTCTGCTATTGAAAACAATGCTAGAGAATATTATAACACTCAAGGCCAGATTCTAGCAAAAGGAAATCCAAGCATTATGTTAATATCAGGATAGTCTGTAATAACATGGAGGACCAAAATGAACAATATGCAGAGAAAAATCAAGCTTCTAAAAATGATCAGAAATCCAAAAGCAGGATGTAGAGTGATAACTTAAAAGTACTGGATTTCATACAGAAATCAGAGTTGCTGGATTCAGTCTTTACTCTAAAAGCCACAGAGTCTGGAGAAGCTCTTCAAATACATAAAATTTGTTGCAACAAAAATGGGAGCAAACTGTTCTGTATGCCCACCGCTAAGATAAAAAGAGGTTAAGATCCAGCAAAACTCAGCGTTTCCTAATATCTACCTTTATACTAGTAATACCAAAGCCCTACAAGAACTTTGAGAAGGATGATCTTTATCACTAATAATTACTTTCAGAGCAGCCATTCAAGGATTTCAAGATTTCCACTGTCATTATTGTTCAGAAATCTTTCAGTTGAGTATCTGAACTTTAACCACAACTGCTCTTGGCCAGTCGTGATTTTGCTACCTCATGTTCCTATTTTTTACAACTAACTGAAAGGCTTGCACAGCTGACCATTTCTGCAGCCTCTCAAAGCTGGTTTAACAATGCAGCATGATGTCAAAGGAAAGAAGGAAGCAGATATTTCTTCCTGCTTAGTTTAAAACTGCTAATGGGTCTTGAAGCTCAGATTTCTACCCTAGTTGCTCACACAGCTATTAAGTGTCACAGGAAAGTTGCAGATGTATTAAAAACACCTGTTTATCTTTGGAATATTTATTTATTTTGTAATTAACTTACTCTTTTTCCAAGCCTCTTTCCCTGATTCCCAAATTATGTGGGAGTTATTTCTACACAATACCTGTTACAGGACAGCCAATCACAGTAACAGCCGAAAATATTGCTAGTAAATAGACCTACAAAGTATTAAGCACTCATTCTCACAGAAAGAATAAAGTACATATTCACAGCTCTTCTTTAACTATGGAAAAAAATGATGCAAGTTTTTCCCTTTCAAAAAGAGTTCTTAGTTGACATTGTCACACAAAAATTGACACTTCATGGGTATGAACAAGCTAAGTTTCATCTAAACCTAGTTTACAGTTGCACCAGAGGAAGAACAGTTTCAGTCTTTCCAGTAAACAAACGTGGCAGAAGCTGTGTCTGTGTCACGAAGTAATTCAGCACAACAGGAGTGAACCCACACAATCAACAGTTGATGTTCAACCTCTATGTCTATAGTATATACAGCTTGGAAATCTGAAGACCAGGTTTCTTCTTTTCCTCCAGACATCCTCAACACATAGATGCTTTCAAGCTGCCTGAAGGAAACCTCTGCTATGGAGTCACGTAACCATTTGGAGCTGGAGGGGATCTGGCACACGCCGAGAGCCCAGCTCCCAGGTTCGCAGAAGGAAGTGAACTTGAGCACCAAAACTGCTTTGTCAGCCAAACTACCATGGGGCAAGTGGGATGAGAGAGGGATTTAATACAGACTACACAAACTACATCACTGCCGTAGGTGCAGCTGGAGTCATCCCCTAAAGAGAACACATCTATCAGGATATTCAGCCTCACACACCACCATTAACCCTGGGCCAAATGACCATTCACTAACGAACTATGTTACAGTGCTCCAACTGAACCAGCCAGCAGAATTGTTACCAGCATGTAAAGCATAAGAAGCAGTAGTGGTGTAATCAAAACTACAATGATTTTAAAGTTTCATTCTACCCGCAGTATGGATTTTAAGACAGACATACAAAAAGGGGTGGCTTAGGAGAACCTGAAAGCCGAATTGCCACTCCCCTTGCCAGCGTACACAAAGAAGTTTAAAACTACTTGCAGAAGTTAAAATTCCTTTGTATAAAAGGGCACTGAGATGCATAAGACATAATACACTTCATAAACACAAGAATTTTACAAGTCCATATTATAAGACATAATGTCCAGTACATCAGCATTCCACAATACAAAGCTTATCTTTATATTTAAAATAGAGTATAAATAAACAGTAATTCACATTAAGACAATTGCCACAGCACTGTTTCTCAGAGGAAGTGCTTTACCTACACACAGTACCGTGAAGCCTACCAAGCAAGCTATAAAGTTCTCCAATTTAAAAGGGGTAGGGTAGAAACAAAAGGAAAGAGCAGGAACATCCAAAATCTTTGAGAGACATCAAGAACTCCAAATGTGCCTTGTGCCTGAGCTGATACTCAGGTCAGCTTCAGCCGGGGAGTCGTTACCCCTAAATATGATGCAACATACCATCTCAAAAAAGTAACAGAATAGTTATTTACTTATAAATTGCTTTATTGAAGCTATAACTTAATAAATTTGATGTTCAAGGTGTAAAATCATCCCACAGACTGAAAATTAACACAATAGGAAAAAAATGTAAGTAATACAAATCTACTTATGTTGCCCTACTGGTAGAACTGAACCTGTAGGATACTATTCTTTGAAGATACGGCATTAGACTGAAAGAAAAGAGAAGAAAACAGAATAATAGAGTACTTCACAGTAAAATACCTCTTTATTAGGAATATATTTAAAACTAGCTTTTTATTTCAGGTAAGAAAAATAGCATTCTGACTTTTAGCCAGTGCTGATTCCGGTCATACACAATAAAAACAGCTAGAAAAGTTATTTGCACAGTTGTTGCCCAGTAACAGTCCTCTTAACTGACCATTCATTGCCTTTGATTTTTAGCTTGCTCCTAAATATGTTGAAGAAATTCTTCAAACAAGGTGTGTATTTAGATCTTTCTTAAGACTGACAGACTGACTTGACAGCGACTCTGCATGTTACTAGCTCACATACAACTGTTAAAAGCCTTCTTTTAAAGAACAACATGATTCAAAGCTGATCTGTGGAGACAATTAAGAGGGCAACTCTCCAGGAAGACTGCGGTAGAACAAATCCCACTCTTCTACTATACAGCTGAGTACTGTAAAGTAGCAGCAATGTCAAGAACTTACAATTCATATGGTAAACTGTTCTGTGTGTACATTTTTATACAAGTCCAGACTCTCTCTTGCTATGCTATAACTTAACAGATGAATTAATTGTATCATGCTGCAAACAAAGATATGAAACCTTTGTGTAAGCATTACTGGTTTAGGAGTGTGCATAAATACCTGCCTTCTAAAAAAATACAGAAGCTGTTTAATTTTCCATCATAAGCTTATGTATCATGAGCTATATAATTAGGCAGCATGATTTAAAACAGGTTTTCATCCAATTAAAAATGAAATCTATGCATTTCGTGAAAGTGTTATACAGCATTTGTAATGAAGTCCCTGTTTTTTAAGATACCTGACATCCATTTTCAATACAAGATATATCAGACAGGGAAAGTATTCCCAAATATATTGGTTTTGTTTTTGTAATTTCTTCCATCCTCTGTGGCCAATATGAAGCTAAAATATACCTGTTTTAAGTAGACTTCCATATTTTGATGTTTCTTAAATGCAGATGGAAACAATGGATGATGATATTACAACAATCTCCAAATACACTGAGAATAGCCAATAAGCCACAAGTTTGTGGCTGTTTTAAGCAGTATCTTAAAAAAAATACATAACACCAAAATTAGGCTATATCAGGAAGCAATCTGATACTCAAATAAATAGAAAATTTGCATTTTAATGTAACATTGAATTTTAGTACATTTCAATCCAAGAAAAAAATAAACTGACAGACACAGCAAGGAGTACAGGGTTATATATTACAATATGCCTTGTTATAATACATTTGTGGCTTATGATAGAGAAACCTCAAGGGCAGACAGCGTTTGAGCTCATTTAATTGTCAGATACAAAGCATTAAATGCATTTCTGAAATAAGTACTTTCATTTAATTTTGAAATCTTAAAACAATGTTAGAACTTGCACTTTTCTTTTAAAAAAGAAAAGAGAATTTAATTACCACGGAGCTAAATAAGTATTCTGAAAGGTTTAAACGACACAGAAAATGCTTTTCCCAATTTTACATACAACAAAAGGATACACGATTTCAAAAAGAGCACCTACAACACTCCATGTTGACCTTGACCTAGAAATGCATATTATTGATCTCCACAAAGAATCCAGCAGATTTTGAAAGTTGTCCATTTCACACGAAAGCAAGAGAAAGGGTTATCATATGCAAAAATATTTTTCCGAACTGTTTTTAACTTGCAATTGAAAACTAAAGGCATGGTCTCTTCATTATAAAAAAATAAAGGTACAACAGAAACTCTAAAGGAAAATATTCAGCTACACTGAAGTTGCAACCCTCTGAAAAGAAAGAAAAAGGAAGAAAGTCAATTAGCTAAGCTTTGTGCTCTAACCAAACTACTTACAGTGACTTTCAATGGCAAAAGCCCATGCTGACTGGGTGATTTGACAGTTCCAAATACTTTTTGTAATAATTCTTATTTGTATACAAGGACACTAAAATGATCCAGTCATGCAACGTTCACTTTAAGCATTTTGCATCTCTTTTCCAATCTTATAGCTAAGGATCTTGTTCCAGTCAATCTTGGTGCGGGTAACTGGCAATTGTCGACGTAAGGCCTTGAAAGTAGTGTCCGACATAGTCTGATAATTCTCACTGATAGCAGTCTGTTGAAGTCATACAAAACAAAGGCACATCAAGAAAGGGATGTTATAGAAGAAGTTAAATGACTGAGTAGTCTTGTTACCTCTTAAAAAGGCTTAATAAAAATATTCTACGTTAAAATAATATGTTATGAAGGAAAGCTGCTAGATCTAGACTGAAATTATGTGAAGAAAATCAGTGAGACAGCTGCAATAAACACGGCTGTAGACTAAGGGCTTCAGCAAACCACAGCAGCACGAATAAAGTGCTGATCAGTTAGCTCATACATCATTAATTTCAGACACCAAAGTCTTCCACTGCTTCTTCTGTGGTGATAGTTGGGTCAGTCCACAATATCGTATGAACTTGAATACAATACATATGCTACATACATAGTAAATTTTTATTAAAGAGAATTTTTTTAAACCGACAGAACATGGCATCTGAAATTTACCTTATGCTCAAGACCTACATGAACATGAATTGACATCTACAGAGGATATCTACAACAGTTACACTTTGCTAACTTTAAAATGACTAATTGAAATGGATAATACTTACACTTAGCAAAGCTGTCTAACAGACTCTAAATAGAATCTGTACAAAAATTCCACTTCAGGAATACACTAATACTGAAAGAGCTCAGAATTGCTGATACTTGATAATGCCAGGGACTTTACTGCTCTCAAAGAAACCCATCTTAATGTTGCTTTAAGTAGGTGACTGCAATCACCAGAAAATATGAAAAAGGAGGATACAGTTAACAGCAGCATATAATCTATTTATATTTTTAAGGAACTGCTTTATCTTGATATCATAAACTTGCTAATTATAGAATACTAGCTTTGGTTTAAGTATATGGTAATGTTATACATGCGAGTAAGGATATAGTTTTTGTTTCCAACACACCTGATACTCGTTTTCTGCAGCCTCTACTATTTTTATAAATTCCTTTGCTGTCTGGGCTTCATTCTAGAAAAAAAAACAAAAAAAAAACAGCATACCTGAATGAGGTCTGATGTACAGCATGTTCCTAAGAGCATCTGGATTATGGTTTTTTTCCTGTAGTTATGAGTATTGTCAGGTAGACTCCAGGTAGACACAACCATTTACTGGCTATACCAAAACTGAACAAAACTTTTATCCAAAAGGCACGTGCCACATAAAAACAGTTGAATGGCAACGTGCATAAAGATTACTATGGAGCTCATTAGTATATTCTGATTTAAAATTCTATGGCACGACAAAAAGACACGTGGACCAGAATAACATCTGGAAGTATGACCATGTACACACAGAAATCTCTAAAAACTTGCAAAGTATTAACATTATCAATGTTAAATTTCCAGTACAAATTCAGGAAAACTTAAGAGACCACCACCTAACCCAGAAGTATGAAGAATGCAACCAAAAAATCAACACAAATTGTTCACCTCTACACATTCTGAATCCAAAGACTAAACAGAGGGAAACACTCGACATTATATACCTAGACTTCTAAAAACATCCTCAAGTACATTTTGCAAAAATGAGGGTACCACATGCCACAATGTCCAAAATTCATTATGACTGATAAACACTTCCTTAGCTTCAGGCCTCACCCTTAAGTATGCAAGTGTGTGTTTTGAAAATAAAAAACGACCCATCAGTCAATCTGGAGACAAATTAACTGAAGTGCTTGAAAGAAGTCTCAAGAAGGAAGTGAGGGTTCATGAATTTCAAGACTTCCAACTTGGTGTTAGAGACATTCCTAAGGGTACTTTCTTCAGAAGCTGTTGAAAGCTAGGAGTGTTCTTGCCCCATGTGATCCCTCATTCCTACAAAGATAAAGACTGGGAAAAAACTGTGGCAGCTTCAATTACAACTGGTTCAAAGTTCCAGTGAAACTGCACCTAGCAGCTGTGAAAGCGCTCCTATACACCACAGAAAGACATAAAGGAGGAGTTAGAGACCAAGTAGAATGAATGAAAGGGCTTTGACTTTTCAGTGAACTGAGGCAAGGAATTCAAAGGCTCTGCTCACAAAAGGAAGAATTCTGGGGTATGAAGTCTTATTTGGCTCAGAGAGAAACTAGGGATAAGAAAGTAACCTTCAGCAAAATTATTCATAGCTCTAGCTACAACGGATCTCTTCAGTCATGTATTTCAGTTGCAAACATTAATGGTATAAAACTGCTTCTCTGCCAAACAACAAAAAAGAAGAGTCATTCAGGCTCCTTTTAATCTACCTACCATTCTTTCTGTTTGAAGTAAGAATGTGTGCAGCCTCTGCCCTCCATGAAGCTCAAAATCAAGGCTAAAAATTAGCAATCAGCAGCATGCTTCCTTTTGTTTTAACAGAAGGTAGGAAAGTTACATAAAAGATGTTTTCCTACTTATCGGTCTTCTGCTGCCTTGTTAAATTGCAGAATAGGATTAAATTATTTCCCAATAGAAACTGAAGCAAAAGCTACTGAAAGGGGAACTTCTTCCACATAATCTTCCCTGAAGCAACTTTCAGTTGAATGATGGATTAAACAGATCCCTTCACTTAGGGGATCAAAAGTAATTCTATACCTACAGCTCCAGGAGCGTTATCAGTTGGCACCACCACCCCCATTCTTTGTGGTTCTATTGCAACTGAAAAGCCAACAAGCCTTGCTTTATATTAGCAAACAATATTCTTTATTGATGAGTTGAGCTTTTCAGCCAAATTGGTCACGACTAGTTATTATCTTTTAAACATTTCTACTGTTCACTTTTACAAATGCCCTTTGCCAGTTTGACCTCACCAGCTTAAGTTTTATCACAGAATACTCCAACAGAAAATCTCCCTGTTTATAAACACAATCTCCAGCAGGCAAGAGAAGCATTACTTCAAAAGCAGTAGTTGTTCATATTACCACATTCCCAACTCTTAAAGGATACATCTAATACTGTTTTCAAACAATTTGTACTTCCACTGCCTGCTCCTCACATAATCCATTTGGAATGAAGTTGAAAAAAGAAAAAAAAAAAAGATGCTTTAAATATAAAGCGTGTTACGCTTCTCAAGCTGACGCATCTCTGAAAGGGCTTTTTGTATAGAAAAGCAAGAGGCTGACAGCACCAGTTACGGACAGGGAGGAAATGAAGGGGGAGTACTCACCAACTGGTATCATTTGATTACTAATTTTAGCATAGTGGTCTTCTCCCAGTGAAGCAAAGGAGAATCTCCTATTGTACTATGTAAGTGGGTTGTTATAACTCAAACCTTCTTCAGATAAAAAAAATAATTTTATAGGTCATTCTGCAGACCTACAAAAGTTTAAATAAAACAGTGCAGAAAGACTGACAGGAAGATAATTACAGATTTACAATCAAAGTTAATTTAATTTATATAAGCCACATGCAGTCATATATTAATTTTAGGTTTTGGGGTTTGTTTTTTTTTTCCTTTTAAACAATAACTATACTTTAGGTAGAAGTTGTAAATGTTACACACACACTATTTAAAAATTAGAACATTCATTGCCATTCATGCAAAAGAGCAAACTTGCATCCCAACTTCTGAGCCTTTTTTCATCTTGCTTTTCTTCTTAAATTGAAAAGTCACTTCAATATATGGACTAAGCTTTTTGAAAGTTCACTTACAGACACTGTTAGAGAATCTTGTATGTCTTTATGGCTCACCAGCTGAACGTTACCATCTTCATAATAATGAACCTACAGAAAATTAAACAAAGAATATAGTATGAAATGTTACAGACCAACAATATACAGGAAAATCAAAGCACTGTAGTATTTATCATAACAACAAACCTATACAAATGAAATGAAAACATACTTAAAATGTTACAGAACAACAAAACAAACTGGAAAACCAAAATGTTGTAAAATCTAAATATTTTTGAGGGGAATAGTAAAGAAGGTACTCTGGAAACATTTTTGTGTTGATGTTAATCAAAACGTAAACATCTTTACATGAAACATCATGACAACAACAACGTACTAGTTATGGGACCTTACTAGGAACTCTTGAAATGAACAGATTATTCTAAATGGTGAAGATATACTCAAAATAAGAATAGTTTTGGCAAGGCCTCAGGATACTCTGAAGTTGCTTTTCTATGCCATCCAAACTGTTTTCTAGGGACACCGCAACATTAAGCTTCGCCTTCTAGATCTATGTGGTTTTGGTATTTTCCTCTATTACATATAGCTCATAACAAAAGCTGGTATTTATCTAAATAAAAGAGCTATTTGGAACAGAGTCTGCCAAGGTTAGATAGCAAAGCAGAATGAAATCTATTTCCTCTTGAAATGTCGTATCTACAGAATAGCTTCCTTGATTATTTTGCAGCATGAGGAGACCAGTAAAACTCTACCCAAGCTGACTTCAGTACTTTCAAATTCAGGTGGGAGGGATCTGAAAACATTCAGTTTCTAATGCAAAGGCTGGAAAACTTAAAAACCAGGAAGCATATATAGTTACATGTAATCATTCATAATAACTGATACAGAAGACACTGACTTTTAAACAGGTATCCTTAAAGATCTTTTCACAATTTTGATCAAGTCAACATAGTCAATGTAGCTGGTATTATGAGAAACTGAAACATTTGTGTCTCACCCTATTAGTCAAGGTAACATTTGAATTTGCAGAGCAATGCACAATACTATAATTTCATATACATTATGACCATATGTGTAAGAGATTGCCAATTTTATAAACAACAATAGAGGAAACAACAGAGTAAGACAGCTGTAATACCTAAGCAAAAGAAAGGTTTCCTATATGAAAAAAAAACATTTCCTATGATTCATCTTATATTTTTATTTTGCTTATTATCAAATACTTGTTTTTCAACAGAAGGTACCATCCTAACCATAAAATAAGCTTCTTTTCAAATCAAATACTACTGGGTAAAACTTCTGCCAGCCTTTTTCAATCCAGTTCCTAAAAGATGAGAAGTACTTTCTCAGTTCAAAATTCTGAGACCTCCCAATGAAACAGCATAACCCAGAGAAGTATGAATCTCCCCTCTTCTCTGTCTCAGTCCACTGCAGAGGGCCTAAACCACCCCTGTGCTCTGAGGCCAGCATCAGCATGAACATCTTATCTATCTTACCAAGTCACATTCCTGGCAAATGCTCAGGCCTAAAAACTTAACAGGGATGAAGAGTCAAATCTATTCTGGGACGCGCTGTATCTTACACAAAATACGAGAAGTAACTGTTCTGTACTACAGCTCACTGCTGACATCCTTCTAGAATGCTAGGGCTGGGTTCAGAAGGCTACAAGAAGGATGATGCTTATGAATAGAAGCTCTTGGAAAGGTTAGCTAAGGAGGGATGAAAATAACAAATTATCTAAGAGATAAAATTAGTAACCAGTACACTTATCAGTTTTTTTCCATGCACAGTTGGGGAATGTCCAAGCACCACAGGGACTGGTTTTAGGAAAAAGCTCTGCTATTGCAGTTTTACCCTTAAATATAATTAGAAAATTAATCAATGTAAGATATTAAGACAGTTGAGAATATCCTATATTAGAATTTATTAAGAGATATTTCTTTTCAAAGGGAAGAAACTGTGCAAGTGACCTTAAAAATACTGAAAACACCTGAAGATAGCAGGCAATGCTGGAATCTGCCCCAACTTATTTTTAAAAGCTCTTATCAGAAACAGAGCAATGCCTGTATTGCTGTCAAATAGGGCAATGGCTGTATTGCAAATAACACAAACTTCAGTACTCTGAAATTTTGCTAAAGTTGCAGTGAGTTCATATTCTAGAGGATTATTTTGCTCCTTAACAACAAAACAAAAATAAAAAAAACAAAGAAAAAAAAAGGCACTTTATTTGGAGGGGGTAAGAGGAACACTCCCACAAATGTTGAAGAAATGGTACACAATTTCTAAAGAAATTGAAACTGACTTCAAAATTCCCTGGTGAAACAAGTAGCTCCTGTAAAGCAAAAAAGTGAAACTTTTCATTACTTTCCAGAACACAGGCTTTAACAGATGTAAAGAATGCCTTAATTATGTGAAACAGTAATAAAAGACAAAATTAGCTGGTGCCCAAATCAAGATACTTATTAAAATCTGCCTAAAATCCCTAATCAGGCTATTTTCTAGGCTACTGGGCTAACCTTTCCCAGAATTAGGTATACATCTGCCTGCTTGTTCTGAAAAATCTCCTAAAACATTTAACCAGAAGTGCATGCTGCGGAGAGAATGCTTTGCTGCCAGCTGGATTTGAGTGACAGTTTACTTACATCCTCCCAAATTCTTGAGAAGCCTAAACGTTACTTAAGATGCTTACCATGACCTTGATCAGACAACAATAATGGTTGTCGATATTTTGACTATCATTCTAGCTGTCAGAGAATTTGCCCCAGAAAGTGAAACCAGATTCAGGCCCCTGCTTGGGTGGATCTGAACACCGCTACCTACCACATCCTAAAATAACATCCTAGCTTCAGGGTATGGCTAGAAAGACATTGCATTGTATCTTCCTTCTGCAGTCAATTCACTGACTAGTAAGGAAGTGCAAAACTCATGGGGGCACAGAAAGAGCAGGAAAATGGAACTTGAATAAAGTACTGTGCTAAAAGCCAGGCTGCACTAAGATCCTAGTCCCTGATTCCAGAATTGTTTTAATAAACTCCTGGAAAATATGCAAACACATTCCAAGCAACCAATCCAGGAAGTCAAGTCCCCCTGCTGACCACATGACAAGTCAGGCTTCCTTTGGTCTCAAGATTTCTGCATTCCTGCTCAGGCAGTATGAATGCCCTAATGCCACCAGTAAGGGCAAATTCTGAATGAAGCAGACCCTGATTCAAAAACTGCAGAATGACTGAATGACTGAAACCAAAGATTCCCACCTTTCTGAGCAGTTGGGTGGGTAACATTAAAAAAAACGAAATCCTGCTATTACCAGCTAAAGAAGAAAAAAAGTTGTACTTTAAAAAAAGAGCATCCCTCAGGAAAGGCTTGTGCCACTTTGAATTCAAGAAGCAAGAAACAAGAGGTACATGCCTAGCTGAGGTGAGCACACCTTCTGAAAGTCTTCTAAATCATTGAACACATATTCTTCTGTTTGTAAGATTAGGTAAATATGCAATTGAATTCACTAACACTTAAGTGAATGGCCATCTCTGCTTTGCTTAGTGGGTCCCCAAATTCTCTTACAATATTTAATACACTGGCCTGAATCTCCCTTGATAATAACTGGAGAGTTTACTGATCAGGACACAGTCTGAGATAAGCATACCTGAATTTTCAAGATGCCAGCCACTTGAGTGGTTGAAGGGGTGATTGTAAACTTCCATTCTGACCTCCAACGGCCATTCCTTTAAAGAAAATAAAAACGGAAATCAGATGTCACCCCACTGGTTAAGAAGAAGACCCAACATATAATGATAGTCAAAGGCAAACAGAATGAAATATGCTGTGCACACATGCACAAAATCTCTCCTTGAAGATTCAGCCCTATAGTAAGTTGAGAAGAGAACAGTTTCCCAAAATACTTAACCTAAGTTTTGGATGTGGACAAAGGAGATTTATTAGCACGGACCTTTTAACAAGGAATTAACTACTGAAAGTACCTAAAGCCTCCAATGTTCTTCCCCTCCTTTATAATTAGTTAGGCATATATAGTCAGCATTTTGTTTCCGGGACCTGGATGTCTTGCTGGATCAACGGAAGTCACACTTCACATCAGGCTATGAAAAGATTGAATGGAAGCCATCTTAAAGTAGCAAGACTTTCCACTATGCTGAACTGTAACTAGGCCTTTCAGCACTTCTAGTATTTTTGTTCCAGGACAACTATTTCCTTCCAGTTTCCTTCCACAGATTCAACATCCTTGCCAGATTGCTTAAAGGGAGTTTCAAACATCTGGAAAAGAGTATGGGGAGATTGTAGTTTCACCTGATTTCTTTCCTGTAGACTAGACATTTTCTTTTTTAGTTATGAGGTTAGTGAATTAGAAGGTTAGTACATTAAAGCTATATTAAAAATGCATTGTGGCTGTCTCTTGTTTCCTCTTTTGATTGCACTTAAAGAAGGAAAAAGTTGAAACTACGAGTTCCAGTTCTACTAAGGTTAGTAGGGGGAAGGAAAGAGAGACTTTAAGATTAACAGCTACTAACAGATCTATATTAACACATCCCTGATACTAACAACATTAACTCAGTAATAAAGCCATTCATAATTATTTCAGACAATATCTAAACTACAGATTATCACTGAAAATTCAGACTAAGGCAATTCAGAAGAAGCTTGTTGGAATCTCTAAGAAACTGAAAGGGCCCCCTAACTCAGTGATACTAGTATTATCGGTAGCCTCACAGACCAACCCATTAATTATAAGAAAGCTTACATGCTGAACTACATTTTATAGATGCACAGGATTCAATGACTAGCTACCACATTTTTTTTTGCTTTTTAGTCGCTTTGTAGTCCTAAAAGCCAAGATGAACACAATGCTTCTACTCTGGGATATCTTCTTTTGTCCTTAAGATGCTATTACAATAAAAAGTGTTCAAGTTCAGAAGGATCCTTCAGCAGGAAATGCTCTAAGTTAAAGACAATGCATCATTATTTAGCTCTGCTGACTTCAGAGGTTTTGTAAGAGATTGACTGTCCTTCCTTTTCTTTCACATTTTTTAATAAACCATCTCTGCTACTATGCTGATAGTATTTCAGAAATCTTAGAATGTTTCTCTTTGGTCTGTATTGATTTTCTGTCATCCCACAAACTTGGTTTCATGGTAGGTTGCCAGCCTTTCAAATGCCTAAAAACCTGCGACACCTTGAGAATAAACACTGGCTGTGGCCTGGGCTGGACACCCAGACATTCAGGTGGATAACTGAGAAGTCTGCTTAACTTTGGTTAACATTCCTCCATTCCTAAATCCCCCAAACCAATATAAATTTATTAAAATTTGCTAAGAGTTAGAATTGGAGCTTAACTAGCCCCCTATAAAAGTCTTAGAAACATGCTCAATATTTACCCACGCAGGTTTGACCATAACTTTATTAATGAAAACTTTCAGGAAAGATTTTTTCCATCTATAAATGGTTGTTGCATATCAGTCTCTTCTTTAAAGACTATAGTATTAAAATAACTATTTGGAATACCAGAATTTATTTGTACTTCTGACCTAAAAAGAAAACTCAATTATTACTTCAAGTTACTTTTAATACTGATTACATCAATATTAAATTGATTTACATCAACTTTTAATATTGATGTAAAACTTAGCTAGTCAAGTTTAAGTCAGTGGAAGAAATTATTAACTGTGTAACGAGTGTACTGGGCAAATCATTGATCAGATATAGACACATGCTCAAATTACTATACAAATATAATGTTCACCTTCAGCATCAGAAAACAATATTTCTGCACTTAAATACATTAACAGGATTTCAAGTAGATGCAAAATAGCAAACAAAATAACGAAATCCATTTCTTCATAGAACTGTGTATATTAGCTATCTTTCAGAGATAGCTCCTTATCTCATTTCTGATACTGTGATACCTCTGTTGTCTCTGGCCAGTTTACTGCAAGGAGCTACCCAAAGTTCACTCCAGACTGTGGAAAACATCTCTTAACCAAGTGAAGAAACAAGAAAATCAAGCTGCAATTTATGAGAGCTCATTCCATCCAAGACCACTTTCATCTTCCTCACCAAAAAATTAACAACTGAAGTCTGACAGTACATTAATCTTTGGTCACCTTTCTCCAAGACATTCAAAGTAGGAGGAGCTGGATTTATGCTATCAGTCACAAAGGAAACAACACTAGCAGAAGCAACTGTATTAGGGAACAGAGACACGGATATCAGTGCTGTTGTGATAAACTGGAAGAATCATAAGGAATTCTATGAAGTTCACAAAGCTCTTCAAGGAAGATGCAGACATGTAACCTACCACTTTACTTACCACAAAGGAAGATATATATATATATTTTTTTTTTTTTTTGACAGAAAAACTTGGGGTGAAAGGAGAGAAAAATGTCACATGCAAGATGTGCCAGCACCTCCTTCTCTGAACTAAGGGTTACCAGTGTAATGGCACTAGTGCAGTTATTCCATTTGCTGTATTTTACTGTATTCGTATCCATACAGAAACTTACCAAAAATTTTTTGCTTGGAACTGATGGCTCTCTATGCATGCAATAATGGTCTGCTGTCCATCAACTGTTTTACCATACACCTGAATTAGAAATGAAAACAAACAAAACAAAAACCCAACAACAACAAAAAGTTGTTTCAGCATCTGTCTTGCTCAAACTGCTTAGAGGTATCTTGTTCTCTTATTGTTACATAAATTGTAAAATTTAATTTTATAACCATTGTGGTTTTTACATAGTATTTTATACATGAAACATTAAAGTGTGTATTGCAATGCAGAAAAATGTAAGATTAGAAAATCTGAAGGTCAAGCATCTTAACTGAAATTTTATGTTCTGCAAACTCATTTTCCTACATTATAGGCATTTTAAGCCTATAGCAGTGACCGGTGTGACTATATGCTTTACCAGCTGGGTTTTAGGTATCAGTTATTCTACAACTAAATGATGAGTTAAGCCTTTACGGACTAACAAAAAGGTGATTAAAAGGGTGGGTTTGGTCTTCTGTCCTGCTTATCCCCTAAAATCAGATACTACTAAAATTATCTCAGTGAACATGCAATCTGGTTTCCTTAACAGAAGCTGGAACTCATCTGGATTGCCTGGAATCAAATTCAATGTTTTAACTCAGCAACTGATGGTTTTGGGTTTTTTTCTGTAGTTAATTTTTCCATCAGGTTAATACAAACCACAGCTATCACTAGATCAGTTTGCTGAGCTTCAGTCACAGGGTTCCTTAACAGCAAATGAATGCTATTTAGGCCAGACTGAGAGGTTTTATTTTAAGAAGCCATCAGAACCTGCTGATTCTGGTGGTAAGAATATAGTACTTTGATAGACAGGAAATGTCATGGAAAGAAAACAGTTTGCTTTGCTGACAGTTTTGTCTGTCAGGTTAAGCCAAGGCAAGTCTTGTGGATAATTTTTCTTTTTGTAAGTAACCAGCCAGGATCAATGGGATCAATCTGCAGCAGTCTACAGAAGGTCTTAAGCACTGAGAGTCAGCACTATCACCTGCAGTAACCACCCCACCAGTAATCCAATAGCTGAAATATGAAACATCTGAAGTTCTGCCTCATTTCCCTACATGAACTCTTGACAGGACTAAATTCTTTGCTGCCTTTACTGTTGGAACTACACATCTTCCTGGTTTTCAGTTTCAGTTTTTTCATTTCTTTTTAGATTTCTGTCTATAGTGGTACACTGGTTATATAATTTAGTACTTACTGTGCAGACACCATTTGGGTAGTGTTCTTTCACATATGCTTTCATTGCTGTTTCAACTGAATTCCTCCAGGATTCTATGGCATTTTCAACTTCATGGGGTCTGGGATCAGTAGCCTCCTTTCTTAAGTGATCAAATTTAAAAGAAATCTTGTTCTTGGGATCCAAAAACTTTCCATTTCCCAAATCACCATGTTCTGTTATCAAAACCTGTATTGTAAAATTTTATTTAACAACATTTACTATTGGGAAAAAAAGGGGAAAAAAAAAAATCCCACACCAAATCTAATTATATCCTACATTTAACTGGAGCTTACTTATAGCCAAAGACTCACATACATATATATATATATATTTATTTACATATAAACTATGCATATAACACAAGAGGACAAGTCTAACATGACACCGATTCGGAAACAAAGCATCCTGAATCATACCCTCTTACTGCAACAAACAATGAAATACAGTAATTCAGGTTTTCTAGTACCACAGATGGAGCAAGCTGTTTCTACAACTCCAAATCATGTCTGAATGAATTCAAGCCAACACCACAGACTGAAATTTCAAGCTCTTCAGATGCCCTAAATGATTAGCTTATGGAACTAGTACGATTGGACGTCCATAGTCTCTGTATTTTGGCAGGAAAGATGCATTTCTTTTCATTTTCTTGCCAAGATATGTTCCAATACCGGAACATCTTGAACAGTTTAAGGAATGTGGCAAGGATTTCATTGTATTCATACCTGTTCGTCATAACCGTCAATTTTTACTGGAGTAAACTGGTCCAAGTTGTACTGTGCAAATGCACTACAAGAGGAAAAAAAAAAACAACACCAAACGCCTGCGTCAAGCACAATCTTTTTCCTTAGCAGCTGTAAGATATCTAAATAGTATCTAATGACCTGGGCAAGGATGCATCAAAAAAATTATATCAATACTTTGTTATCTAGTAGGCCCAAATTCTTAGAATCACTTTGGTTCAAATTACAGATTCCAATGAACACCACACAATGATTTATGTTCACAAGTAACCTGATATAAACAAACACATAGGCTTTACAGGAACCCATAGAAACTGGAGCAACACAAAGTTTAAAATCCACAGGGATCCAACCTACTAAGCTGGACATGTCTGTTCTTAGAGATGAAACTAATTTTGGCATAAAATACAGTAAGTGTAATGTTTTGATATAGAAGGGTCTACGGAAGCAGTATCTTACTGATGTTCAGTGCCTAACACTGAATGCTTGGTACCAAGAAACAGAAAATGAAATCCAAAAAGATGGATACTAGTTCCAAAATCCAGGTCACCCATTTCCAAAACGATTGTTCTAAATATTAGGATACAGTACAGATCTCTCCTCTGCCAAGAATTTAATCTTTATCAAAGATGTACGACACAAAGTTTTACTTGCCAAGCACTCATCTTTTTAAATAAATTTCTTACTGACAGTCAAAATCTTACTGAAAAACATCTTGCTTTTATGCAACTGAGTATATGGCATCTGGTACTTACTGGGCTGCTCCTTCCCTGAGAAGATTGTCATTATTAAGCAGCAACCGAACATCTGAAAGAAGGTATTTACAACATAAAAGTACAGTTAACTAGAAACTTGTTTCAGTCACATAGCAAATGTCAACAGATTGTACAAACACAAACCATAAACCACCCCATACCCATAAGATTACTAAGTATGAAATTTATTGTGTCATATTTCATAATTTTGACTCAACAAAATTAGAAGAGTAGTATGGAAATGGATCCCTTCCAACACAACCTGGTAAGCATATATAAGCCCCATTCTTCAGTCTGTGTGACAGCTGTAGGAATCTGTCAGACTACCTTTTAGAGAAGTTCTGAATGAGAACAGTACAGGATTCACAAGTTCACTTTTAACACGTAAACTACCAAATCCTTCACACTATACTGATTGTAGTGATTACTGTATTTTGACAACATTAATATACGTGTTGTACTTACTAATTTTTAAGCCTTATCATTTTTCTCTTTGTTCCTCAGTGACACTTAGTAGCCAGAGTACAATATATCATAATACCATTTCTTCTATCATCATACAAGAAACACATGAATATAGAATAAAGTCAATACTCTCCTCAGAATGACTTCATATTTACTAGGCAGTAAATGGTTGTTTATGTACTTGACTTACTGGCTTACTATTTACTAGGTACTATTTTAATAACAATGTAATGCACTGATCATTAGCTGATCATTAGTCTTGATATAACACTTTAAATTCTAAAGATTCACAAGGTATCATACAAGTAAAATAAATATCTCGAATATACTTGAAGTATTACCTAAACCAAAACACAAAACAACAAAACACCCCAAACAAAAACAACCTCACAAAGTCAAGAAAACCCTAAGCCAAACCAAATGAAAACACAGTTTGAAGGGCTGGAGTTTAAAGCTTTCTCTCTTTTTTAAGAAGTCAGTTTGAATCGTATTGAACACTTGTCAGGCATTTATTATCAAATGCTTTGTTATGTGTTTTCAAACATATTGTACTCAGTTACTGAGCAGGTAGCTGCGACTATAAACCAGCTTAACAATAAAGTTGATAGCAGTACTGCTGTGAGAAATTGTATTAACTTTCAGGGAGCTGGTTTAATGGGCAGCTCATCAATTGCCCATTTCACAAATGCAGTAAGTTTAAATAATAATCAGCTGGTCACAGTTTAACTGAAGAAAAACACTTTTACATTCTCTAACAAATTTAAGCTCTCACCAGCCTGACACTGACTAAAAGTTTAGGATATTAAAACTTCCTTCTTTACTTTAATAACAATAGAGAGATTTGTAAGCTACAGCTACAAACCATATGCTTTATGTGATATGTATGCCCACATACCTTGATGCAAGACAAACACAGTATTTTTTAAAGAAAAATAATATCTTAGGTAAAGTTCAGGGAACAACAGTTGAGAGAAGCCAATTTCAAATTTCCTTTCACTTTAAGATGAAGTGTGTTCAGAATTTAAGGGTTAAAAATGTCTGAAGAAAATTAATATTCTTTTCACAACTGGCATTAGGCAGTAGCCCTCTGTATATTCAGTGTTAAATATTTGTCATTATATTCTTCCTTAGATATAGAAGACCATTTTTATTCCAGCTACTTCCTGTTGGAAAATGTAATTGTCTATTAAAGACTAAAAAATAAAAAAAAAAGAAAGAGTACATGTCTCTCTTAAACAAAACCCCTAGTGACTGTTAATTCACGACTGATTAAAAAACAGAAAGCAAGCTCATTCTCACATCACTGAGAAAAGTGGTATTTTCCTCCTTTTTCCACTTAAATTCTGTCTTGTGACTGCAAAGCTTACTATGACAAGCTACAAACCCAGCTCTTACAGCAAGTGAGTTGCTAAAATATAAGCTACATAAAATTCAGGAGAGTAACTGGCAATACAATTCTGGCTACAGACGCTTTAAATGAAAAGACAGAGTGGAGAGATACTCACCATTGAACACCTCATTGAATTCCCCAGGAGGAGCATGAATTATGAATTTTGCTGCTATGCGCACCTGAAATACAAAAACAGTTATGTGGTTGTACATGCATTCATTCCTATTCCAATCAACATGAATTCCAGACATGAAATTGTGCAACTCTGATTCCTGTATTTGTTCACATTATTTAAACTACCCTGTCTTTGTTAGAAACACAGAATATAAAGTTTCACCTCTTCAAACAGAATAGAGATTATATGTGACAAAAGCAGATAAAGGAAATTGAGTCACTCATGGTTTCTATTACTGGCAAAAAGAAAGAGATTAATATAACTCACAATCTATTTCAACTTCCAGTCCATAGATGTCTGGTAGTCAACACACAAAAAACACAATGAAGATAAATTCAATCTTCAAGGCTTCCCCTCTGATTTTATTATACTTTCCTATGGTTCTAAACTTTTGGAAGGCCCACAGCCAGACAGTAATCAGTAGATTACATGAGCTTAAACACTTTCATAGGCACTAAAGCATGTAATTTCACCTGTGTCTACCTGTAAGGTCTCTTGGTACCACAGTACCTAGGTAAGGTTAAAAGAGTCCTTCAGCAACTGCCTTCAGCCACAACCTTTTGCAGACAAAACACAGCACAAGCCAATACTCTCACTAAAAGCATGTGCACCTGCCCAGGCTTTCTCCCTCCTTCTGCTTGCCCAAGCACAGTGAATTTAGTTTTCCAGGCCGGTTCCCAGGATTGTTTGTTGCACAGCTGCAGACACATGTGCTTGCAAAAGGAACATAAAAAATGGTATTTTTTTTTCTTCCATGTGAAGCACCTTAAAACTTTTCAACTGTTACGTTACTTGCACAATGTCACTCAGCAGACTCACTTTCATTCATTCTTCTTTCCCCCTTAAACTGTTAAGGGCACCTGTCATTAAAAAAGTGTTGATTTCCTAACTTAACTTGACAAAGTTCTCAGCCTTCACACTATGGTTATATAAATTCAGGAGACATTCAAAGCTCTCTTGCACCCTTCAATATTCAAATACAGGATACCACCTGAACCACAGTTCCCATTTCTGACATTGCCAGCTATGTTTTTATGAAATAAACAGTTGGAGTATTAGTGTCTGCACTCTCTGGGCTTCCTGCTCAAAATTAAAGTATTTGAGAGGCACATACTCCATCAACAAATACTTAAAAATACCCAAAGAATACTTCATGTTTACATTTTTATATTTATTTTGAGCTACAAAAGAACTACCTGAGCATGCTAGAGCTCCTGAACTGACAGCCGAGGGTAGCAATCCAGTGTTCTAGCCCCTGGTTCTTAACAGAGCCCAAGCTTCACTGTGGCATTAACAGTGTTCAAACCTCAATGAGATCCCAAATTACTAGCCCAGGCAGCTTACCGCTCACAGAAAGTCAGCACATGGCCATAGAGCTGGCTAATGGAAATGGAAAAACTGTCAGTTCCCAACTTTCTAAACTGAATGCTGCATTCTGGATTGCAGACAGCCTTTACCTGCTACCTCAAATACCTCAAATTCAGAACTCTTTCCATGCAAACAGAAATTTGCATTATACTGAGATAAATGCCACAGGGTTTACTCTTCTCACAAGAGACACAGAGAGGCAAGAGCATCTTCTTCTATAGCAGCTTATTAAAACACCTGCCCAGATAAGAAAAAAGCATGACTTGGATTGCCTGCTTTGACCCAAAGGAATGCGAACTCATCTGCCTTAGGTAGATTACCCCAATCACCAATCTGCATGTTTCCTAGGTACGCACTTTGTACCTCTCCTGCTAAAAACAGCATACACAGCTCAGTGCTCACACCAAAGAAATCTAAAGGCTATGAAATACAGCTAACCTACAGTACTAAGAAGGAGATTATAACTCATGAAGGAGAAGGGGAAGACAGGCTCTAAGTTCTGAAATAAAAGGTCCATCACTTTGGGGTTGGGCAGCAGCTAAATGAGCAAAATTAAGCAAAATATGGGTGCCCAAACTGCACTCTGAATAATCATTACACTGGTCATTATTTATTACTCATTTATTACCATTCATATCATATCGTTATTACTCATTACCACTAAATCAGTAATATCTGTTAGGTGAGATATTAAGCCTCTACTACAACTAGAATAATGCCTCATTTTTCAGCTGTTTTGGTAATGTAAAACTGGGTTTTCCTTCTTTTTTGCTATCAGTAAGAACTATTCTTATGAGTCAGATTAATACTTCTGAATGGATATTACTCATAATATAGCTAAAGAGTAACAGATGTTTCCTCAGGACAGACTAACCAGAATTCGATGACCTCAAGGTCCCTTCCAACCCAAACCATCCTATGATTTTACTTGTAAATTTAATTCCTCAATGAGATTTGTTTTTCAGTGTGGTAATTCATCATCCTTGCCACTTCTTATAGGACAAATAAACATGCAAATTAGGAATGAATTTCTCATCAAGAAATATACTCATGCTTACATAAGCAAAAAACCTAGTAGGTCTTCAGAAGCTGAGTCTTGTCAGCTAAGGCACTCTGCATTTTGCTAACCTGCCTTTGTGAAGCCCATTTAAAGCTAATCCATTTCATCAGTTAAAGCCATTAACTTACCTGTGGAGATGAGTATCTGAAAAAGCTTTATTTCCCCAACTCATACAATACAAGAAGCACACCTAAGAATTAAATCTAGTAGTCTCATTTACACACAAGAATTGAAAAGCATTTACAGCTTCTTTATTGCCACTGATTTTTTCCAGAAATAAATGCTCTAAAACAGGCTTCTGTTTTCCAAATGCAGACTGATACTGAAGGATAAACGAACACATTTTCATGAACCTCAGTGAGATGAAGATCTCCTCCTTTTGGCAGTCAAAAGCCACTGGCTCAGCTATCACTCGAGAAAGCACATTTTTAAATAACAGGACAGCCCATATAAAATGTGGTGTTTGTCGGCAAGTAAAAGAAAAGATTTTAAAATGCACATATAACAACAGGCACATTACTTTTAATATGAAGCAACAGGCAAAAAACTCAACTGCAATACAGTCCAGTTGAGATAGGAAATTTTTTTTGCTGAGAACTGTTGAAGAACACACATGCTCAAGTAAACACATCAATAAGATGCATTACAGTTGAAACCAATGTTGGTTATTCAATATAATAAGACTTAAAATCTGATTAGAATAGACCTGAGCAAGTCAAAACAGAAACAACGTAATATTTTGAAAGTCTAAATGACAAAAACTTTTCAGTGAAGAGAAATGCACCTTCACACACAGTATGAGAACCTTATGAAATGTATTAGCAAGTAATAGAAAAGGAGGTTACAGTTGAGTATTCCCTTAAAAATTCAAAAGACTGAGAAAACACCTGAAGTTTCTCCACTTATTATTACTGTAGTTACTCCCAAAACACCACCTAAATTTTAAGACAGTTTTATTGATGTAGTTTCCAAGATTTGATTTACAGACACCGTTTTCAGTTAAATGTCTGCAGAGCTGCTTGCAAGAAACTATACAATTCAGAGTTCACTAATCCAGAACATTTGATCAACAGTGGCTCACAAAATCCAGGTCTTGCTAACAGCTTTTACAACAACAATTGCACATTTACTATATTAAATTCCTTGAAAGCATAAAATTAATCTAAATACATTTTAATGAAATGTGACTTCATCCAGGTTTGCACAATAATTTGCACAAATCATACAGAAGCTGAGAGGAAGTTATAAAATAAAAAAAAAATATAAATCTCTGAACATTGAGAAGAGAAGCATTCCCCACTGCAGGGTTTCTCTTTATCCAATTTTCACATTTCACAGTCTCACTTCAATGGAAGTCTGATACAAGCAAGAACTACTGAGATTTACTTTCTCAACTCAAGTGATGCCAAACGCTTCCCATCACATCAGTTACAAGCTTTTTGATTTTATAAACTATTTCAAATAAGGTAAAAATTCAGCCTGAGAAGCTTAGTGAAAGACAAAAGGGCATGTTTGTTGTATGAGATGAGCATAGATACCAGGCATAATAATGCCTAACTTCATTCTGCTAGACAACTGGTCTATCAACAAATGCTTACACTCAGTTACTACAGTATTTGCAGTTTTCAGATTACACAAGCACAGAGGTAGCAATATACAGAAAGGTGTCAGTTAAGCTAAATCCACCTTGTTTTCATGCTTCTGCCTTTATTGCACAATACAATTTCTCTCAAAGCATGACATCTACCAGATAGACGGAGAAATCCTACTTCTTTTTCAGTCTTGTCCAGTCTGAGACATTCTAAAGTTTGTTTTATTTTAAAGAAGTTACACACAGTGACTGCACATGCCCCAGACTACTCTTCCTGTTCCTGGTACATCGGAACTGACACTGCTTGAAAAAGCCCAACCTTCTGAGCTCTATGTGCCTAAATATGGTCATGGACACAGCCTAGCTGAAGCACAGGGGCTCCCCCAACACCACCCAGTCAGCTCCACTACTACATACTTGCTCCTGATAATCAGCTAGGGTACACCTAGCAACAGGAGAGACATTAAAACTTAAGGTAGCCTTCCCCCTCTCACCTCCCCCACCTCCCTTCCCCTTTTTTTCTCCCTTTTAATTTTACTGAGGTACAGCTGTATTTGCCAGGGCTCTGACAGTTTCCTCCTTCAATCAACTGCCACGCTGCTGCACAGCAAAAACTTGCTGGTATGCAAGACGCTGTGAAACCACATACTTTGCCCTTACTCCTTGCTACACATCACTTATTTCAAGTTCAGCCATAAACTCCTTGTGGCAGGGAGACCCACCCTTCCTTTACACTCAGTAACAGGTTAAAGTTTACTGTTCCAAAGCAATAAAAATGCAATAGTGAAGGAGATATTAAAAGCCCGTTTCACCTAAAAAACTGCATTAAAATTTGAGAACAGGGAGAGAGAAGTAACATAAGACCTCCACAGTAAATTTCCACTCAAAGACATCTTTGTTGCTAATCGCAGGGACAAAAAAAGAGTTACTTTTACCACAGTGATTATATAAAGTGCGAGAGCAGGAGAAAAGCTTTATTTATCAC